AGAGCATTTGTGTGATAGCTTCTGTAAAAGGTATGGTGATGTTGAGTTGTTTCAGAAGTTCAACAAATTTCTTGAATTGCCCTACATTTTTAGACTTACCAAGTCTTTAAGGGTATGTAATAGGTGGTTTATAGGGTGGCGGAGGCACATAAGGTTCTTCTTTCTCTACGGCCTCTTCGTCCCCTTCTTTTTCTACTTCCTTTAGTTCAGCTTCTTTCTCAATTCCTTTTCCATGTTTTTGGTACATGGTTGGGTTCTCGATTCTAGGTTTAGTTTGTCTGCCTAGTTCTGTCCCACTCTGAAGTGTTATGGCATTAGCGTGTCCCTTTGGATTTGGTTTGGGTTGTCCAGGAAAAGTTCCAGCTGGAGCTGCTTGCTGTTGAGCCACTTGGGAAATTTGTGTTTCTAACATTTTTTGTGTGTGGCAAGAGCATCAATCTTATTAGTCAATTGCTTAATCTGTTCACTGGTGTGAATATTTTGATTCATGAGATCCTTGTTAGTTTAAGCTTGGTTGGCTACAAAGTTTTCTATCATGACTTCGATTTTGGACTTCCTAGGGATATTTGAAATATTTGGAACATTTTGGGTGGATTTCTGAAATCCTGGAGGTGTAGTAGGAGCTTGCCCTGGTGCGTACAAAGCGTTATTGCTTTTGTATGAAAAGTTTGGATGGTTCTTCCAAGCAGGGTTATAGTTATTACAATAGGGGTTTCCTTGAGCATAGTTTACTTGATCAACTGGTACTCCTGTTAAAAGTGGACATTCGGGTGCGTTATGTGCGTGAAGTCCGCATAGATCACAGGTTGGAGTTACTGCATCCATGGTGGTTGTGGGAGTTATGGTCAAGCTTTCTATCTTTTGGGTAATGGCTTCTACCTTAGCATTAACTTGGTCTAAGATACTAACTTCGTGCATACCGCCTTCGTTTGAGATTTCTCCATCATGGTTCTATCGCTTCCCCACTGATAATGATTTTGAGCCATACTTTCGATAAGTTGATAGGCACCATGGTATGGTTTATCCATTAGTGCACCGCCAGCAGCTGTGTCAATTGTTAGTCTTGTGTTGTACAAGAGACCATTGTAAAAGGTATGGATGATCAGCCATTCTTCTAGACCGTGATGCGGACAGAGTCGCAACATGTCTTTGTATCTTTCCCATGCTTCGAAAAGAGATTCGCTTTTCTTTTGTTTAAAGTCGTTGATATTGGTTCTTAGCATAAATGTCTTGCTTGGCGGAAAATATCGCGCTAGGAAAACTTTCTTCAATTCGTTCCATGTTGTAACGGAGTTGGATGGTAGAGATTGAAGCCATGCTATAGCTCTATCTCTTAATGAGAAGGAAAAAAGACGAAGTCTTATTGCTTTAGGGCTGATTCCATTTTCTTTGACCGTGTCTGCGTACTTCACAAACACGGATAAATGATTATTTGGATTGTACGTAGGACATCCTGAAAATTGGTTTTGTTGAACAGCTTGCAAAAGCGAAGGCTTTAACTCTAAATTGTTCCGTGCGATAGCGGGAGCAGCAATATTGTTATGGGGTTCCTCTTGCGATGGGTAGCATAATCCTTCAGAGGACGATTTTGTGGTCCTTCAGCCTTTTTAGGGTCAGGAAGAGAAAAGTTAGGAAGATTGATTTTGGGAAGATTGTACTTGGCTTGGTACTCTCTGATTCAGCGTTTTATACTAACAAAACTCTCAACTTCCTCGATTGGTTGTTCTAATTCCTCATCTTTAGAGCGAGTACTTGGCATACAATCGCCGGTTAAAAATAATAAAATTGGTTATCTTAGTCTATACTGCATAACAAGGGATTTACAATATTTGACTAATTTAGTCCCCGGCAACGGCGCCAAAAACTTGATCGCGACTTTATAGGTCTATCGGGTGTAGTGACTACAAGTGCACAGTCTATCGTGTAGTTTTAAAAGATATCGAACCCACAAGGACTGATGGTCAAAACTACTGTTATCTAAGGGTTACTATGTAAAGCTAAGGCTAATTATAAAATTGGGTGTTTGGGTTTGATCGGGAATTAAATAAAGTCTAATAATTAATAACGGGACACCGATATGTATTTTGTCAACATAAGGGATTCAGTAAGTCATTGGCATTTGTTTTTAGTATTAAAACACCGGTTTCGGTGAAACTACTTGTTTAAAAACCCTCGTCTCAAACTTCTGTTCTATTGAATCAGATCATATCAGTTAAGCTCGAATGAGCGCTTCCGCTGTTTCATTTAAACTCAAAAGTATTTTTTGAAAACAAATAAGGTCCAGTTAACTTTAAAGTGCTTCCTCTATTTTTAAAATTAATGTTTTAATAACCACTATCTGGTTAATAACTCAAACTTCCGTCCTGTTGATTTTAACCTTAGAATGTGTCTTTCTTTCGTACAAAAACAATTAAATATTCAATTGGAAATTAAAACCAGAAAAAGTGTTTTTGTAAAAATTAATAATGCCAATTAATTACTGAATCCTTTCGATTAAGTTCTACATACCGGTATTAGGGAATCTAGCCAGACATAATATTATTGCAGAACAACATAAAATTTAAACGTAAATTCAAACAATGCATGCATGGTAGGAAATAAATAAA